TTCTTTTTTAACTTTTGCATAAACTTTCCATTGTATGGATACACCATCGTACATTTAACCGTGAGAATTCATGTGCCTCCCCCCACCACTTTTATTATTTTTTTAATTGTACTTTCGATGAAGATTTACAAAACAAATAGTTTCTCATTAAAGTCAGTACACATATTGTTTTATGACATTGGTTAACAACCCCACGACATGTCAACGCTCTCCCTTCTCGACCTTGGGTTCCCAATTACCAGCTTTCCTGTCCCCTCCTGCCTTCTAGACCTTGTCCCTGGGCTGTTGTGCCCCATTAGTCTCATTTTGTTTTATGGGCCTGTCTAATCTTTGGCTGAAGGGTGAACCTTGGGGGTGACTTCATTACTGAGCTAAAAGGGTGTCCAGGGGCCATACTCTCAGGGGTTCTCCAGTCTCTGTCAGGCCAGTAAGTCTGGTCTTTTTTTGTGAGTTAGAATTTTGTTCTACATTTTTCTCCAGCTCTGTCCAGAACCCTCTGTTGTGATCCTGGTCAGAGCAGTCAGTGGTGGTAGCCAGGCACCATCTAGCTGTACTGGACTCAGTCTGGTGGTGGCTTTGGTAGCTGTGGTCCATTAGTCCTTTGGACTAATCTTTTCCTTGTACTCTGTTCTCTTCATTCTCCCTTGCTCCTGAAGGGGTGAGACCAGTGGAGTATCTTAGATGGCTGCTCACAAGCTTTTAAGACCCCAGATGCTACTTAGCAAGCTAGAATATAGAACGAAATCTTTATAAACTGTGTTATGCCAGTTGAGCTAGATGTTCCCAGAGACCATGGTCCCCACAGCTCTCCACCCAGCAGTTCAGTCCCTCAGGGAGTTTGGATGTATCTATGGAGCTTCCATGACCTTTCCTTCTACAGGTCGTGCTGGCTTCCCCAGTATTGTGTACTGTCTTACCCTTCACCAAAATTACCACTTATCTATTGTCTATTTAGTATTCCTCCCGCCACCTCTTCCCTCCCCCTTAACCATCAGAAATGGTTTCTTTTTGTGTGTGAACTTTTTCATGGGTTTTTAAAATAGAGGTCTCATACAATATTTGTCCTTTTGTGATTGACTTATTTCACTCAGCATAATGTCCTCCAGTTTCATCTATGTTATGAGATGCTTCCCAGATTCATCATTGTTCTTTATTGTTGTGTAATACTCCATTGTGTGTATGTACCATAGACTGTTTATCCATTCATCTGTTGATGGGCATCTAGGTTGTTTCCATCTTTTTGCTATTGTGAACAATGCTGCAGTGAACATGGGTGTGCATATGTCTTTCGTGTGACGGCTCTTATTTCTCTAGGATATATTCCTAGGAGTGAATTGCTGGATCATACGGTATTTCTATTTCTAGCTTTCTAAAGAAGCTCCATATCGTTTTCCAAAATGGTTGTATCATTTTGCATTCCCACCAGCAGTGCATAAGAGTTCCAATCTCCCCAAAGCCTCTCCAGTATTTGTTATTTCCAGTTTTTTTGATTCATGCCAGTAATGCTGGTGTGAGATGGTGTGTCAATGTGGTTTTGATTTGCATTTCTCTAATGGCTAGTGATAGCGAGCATTTCTTCATGTGTCTGTTGGCCACTTGAATGTCTTCTTTGGTGAAGTGTCTGTTCATTTCCTTTGCCCATTTTTTAATTGAATTATTTGTCTTTTTGTTGTAGAGGTGTTGGATTTTCTTGTAGATTATAGAGATTAGACCTTTGTCTGACTTGTAATGTCCAAAAATTTCTTCCCAGTCTGTAGGTTCTCTTTTTACTCTTTTGGTGAAGTCATCTTCTACTAATTTTTGAACAAAGAAAAGTCAATCCAATCCTGGTGAAGGAAACTGTTTTTACTCACCATTTGCTTCATTGTTCGTATCTTCCTCTCAGTTCTTAGGCTAGAGGGCCAGTTAATATAAACTTGCATTTCCCATTTTACAATCCAACAATCTGGCAAGAGAGTGGAGGAAAGCAGATCCACGCACTCTTCCAGCAAAAGAACTTGATCTCTTCTCTTATCTGCTGGGTAAAACTACTGTGCCACAAAATAACTCTGTTCTAACTTGCTGTGTTGCCTATAGCAGGTTCAAGGCAGGATTGTACCCTCCCTCTTTCCTAAGTCTGCTGCTTTATTTTGGCTAAAGTCAACTCTGTAAATGCTGAGCGAAAGGGAGCCCTAGTGTTTAAGGCCCTTTGTATGCCCGCAGCACCCTTGCCTCCATCCCTCATCACTTGTATTTGAGGTTCCATCCTGTTCTTAGCTGTCCCTTGGTGGTGCAAATGGTTAACGTGCTCGGCTCCTAACCAAAAGGTTGGAGGTTCAAGTCTACCCAGAGACTCCTCAGAAGAAAGGCCTGAAAAACCATCTACTTCTGAAAAACCATCCATTGAGAACCTTATGCAACACAATTCTACCCTGACATACATGGGGTCACCATGAGTCAGAGTCTACTCAATACAACTGTTTTTTCTTTATCTGGGTCTTAGCCATTTTTCAGAAGGAGTTTCTACCTGTACCACATCTAGCACACATTCTTTAAAATCTCTAGCATAGGATTCCATGCCCTTATTGTCAAGATTATTTTCCCCCACTTTTCATACTTAATTGGTCATTTTAAGAGATAGTAGGGACTGTAGGGGAGTGAGGAGGGAGTCAGATGGTAGAGGGGGTCACCTCACAGTCTTCACAGGAAGAGATGTCACTATTTCTAAAACAAGATTTAATCTAAAATTTCATATACAATATCTGTTGTGGGGGAGGGGCCATTGGAAAGCCACACTTTTTTTTATAGTTTTTTCCCCACGGGTCTGTCCTCCCCATACCTGCACTTCCCTCTGCTTTTTGGAAATATAAAGTGATCCACACACACAAGCAGGTCTCTAGCTTTTGTAAGGTTCCAGCTGTAAGTGTGAGCTCACCACAGAGACCAGAGTTACCAATAATAGAATAAACTGTGTCCATGACAACCAGAAACCAAGGCAATGGCTGATTTTAACATCCTTGTTGGAACCTTGTTCTTTATATTCTTCTTGTTATCAAAGACATTACTTACTGCTTTCTAAAAAGGGCAGGCACACCTCTACATAGACAACAGAGAGGAAAATGTCCATGCAGTCTGTTGGGAGAGGTAAGACAAGTGTCTGTGTGTAATGCCATGTGAGCGGTTGAGAGAAGTGGGGAACTTCCTGCCAGTGCAATCAGGAGAGCTTCCTGGATTCCTCATTTGAGTTTAGCCTTCAGGATGGTGAGCAAGTGTTGCTGAGGGAGACCACACAGGTAGGCATTCCAGGAAGAATATCACCAGCATGCAAAAGGTGCAGAGGAGGGAAAAGGGCAAAGCACACTCCTGGAATGAAGATGGGTTAACACTGGATTTGTTTGAGGAAGTGGAAGAGATAAGACATAAAAGTGGCTTAGTATCTGTCTTAGTTTCCTAGTGCTGCTGTAACAGAAATACTGCAAGTGGTGGCTTTAAAGAACAGAAATTTATTTTCTCACAGTTCAGTAGGCTAGAAGTCCAAATTCAGGGCACTGGTTCTAGGCGAAGGCTCTCTCTCTCTATGTCTCTCTCTCTATCTGTCGGCTCTTGGAGAAGACGGTTGTCTCTTTCAGCTTCTGTAGCCCTGGAATTCCTTAGTTCCCTGGTGACCTTCAAGTGGCATCTATCTCCCAGCCCCTGTACCTGTGTTTGTGCTTGCTTCTGTGTCTAATCTCCTCTTTTTATAACTCAGAAGTGACTAGGTTTAGGACACACCCTACATTGACATGGCCTCATCAACATAACATAGAAAACCCTATTCCCAAAGAAGATTGTATCTTCAGGTACAGGGGCTAGGATTCCAACACATACTTCCGGGGAACATAATTCAATTCATAACAGCATCCCACTGTGGAGAATTTTGAATGGCCAACTGAAGAGTCTGGACTCAGTTCAGAATCAATTATGTCTTTAGTATAGCACTTGGAATACTTTGTCTTCCTGAGTTACATGCCTACTTCTTCTTGATGGCACAGTCATGTTTGTGCCATATCATCTAACACAGTGCCTTGCTTAGTGACACTCCAAAAATAGTTGCTGATTTCTACTGACAGTATTAAATAATCAATGAAGAGACACAAATAGATTTTGAGCAAAGAAACAGCTACATGAGAGAAACCAGGACCTACTATCCATTGATCCTATTGCCTTTCCACCATCCCTCACTCCCATACTTACCCAGCTTGCATTTTGTGATTCACTTTTATAATCACTCCCTCCATCTCCTTTACTTGGCAAAACTCCAATCCTCATGTAATTCAACTCTCACTACTCTTCTCGCACAGCTAAATGTGGCTGGAGAAAAACATACATCCATTAAAACTGCTCTTGCAAGGAATCAGTGAGCTCCACATTGCTAAATCAAATGGTCAGTTTTCGGTGCTCACCTTAACTCATATTCTCAGCAGCGTCTGACATGTCTGATCCCTGCCAGTGTTAAAACATCTTCACCTGGCTCTCAGAACACTGCTTGGTTGGCTCTCTTCCTCCCTTATCAGCCATGCTTGCCTGGTTCCTCCTTGTCTCAACGTCTGTAAAGTTTGAAGTTTACACGGCTTAGTCCTGAGACTTCTTTGGTTATTCACTCATCCCTTCTTTGATTATTCAGTTATCCCTAGTTCCTAGGGACTCTCAGCCTAAGCTTTCATACCATATATGCGTGTGCATATGTGTGTATGTATATGTGTGTGTTAGCTACAGTCCAGTCAGTCCCTGGCTCATGGGGCGGGGGGAGGGGGGGAACCCATGCACATCAGAACAAAATGCTGCCTTGTCCTGTACCATCCCCATGATCGATTGCAGATCAAACATTGTGATCCATAGGATTTTCATGGATTGATTTTCAGAAGTAGATTGCCAGCCCTTTCTTCCTAGTCTGTCTTAGTCTGGAAGCTCCACTGAAACCTGTTCAGCATCATAGCAACATGTAAGCCTCCACTGACAGACAGGTGCTGCTGCCCATGAGGTGCATTGGCCAGGAATTGAACCCTGATCTCCCACGTGAAAGGCGAGAATTCTACCACTGAACCACCAATGCCCCCGCAATACCATCTATAGTATAGAATATAGATGGTATAGAATAGATATAGGATAGGATAGGGTAGGGTAGAGATAGTATAGAATATAGTATAGTATAGATAGTATAGAATACCATCGATAGGCTGACATGTACCAAATTTATGTCTAGCATGACATCACCCCTAAACTCTTGACTCATTACCCAGTTGCCTCCTTGATATCACTCTCTCCTCTAAAGACTAAAGGGCATGTAAAACTTTCTATGTTCAAAATCAAACTCCTTATCTTCCCCCAAAATACTCCTCCCATAGTCCTGCCATTGTAATAAATGGTAACTCCATCCTTGCACGTTTGGCTCTGGCCAAACACCTTGGAGTCATCCTTGACTCCTCTGTCTCTCTCTCACAGACACATACCTTATCCAATCTGTTAGCAAATCCAGTCAGCTCTACCTTCAAAATACATCCAGAATCTTATCATTTCTCACCCCTCCCCTGTTTCCATCCGTGGTAGAATTCTGCAAGATCAATGACTTATTCACTGGAAATACTTTTTTTTCTTTCATTGTACTTGAGGTGAAGGTTTACAGAGAAAATTAGTTTCTCATTAAGCAATTAATACACATATTGTTTTGTGACATCGGTTGCCAACCCCACGACTTGTCAACACTCTCCCCTTCTTGACCTTGTGTTCCCCATTACCAGCTTTCCAGTCCCTTCCTGCATTCCTGTCCTTGTCCCTGGGCTGGTGTGTCCATTTAGTCTTGTTTTGTTTTATGGGCCTGTCTAATCTTTGGCTGAAGGGTGAACCTCAAGAGAGACTTCATTATGAGCTAAGAGGGTGTCCAGGGGCCATACTCTCGGGGTTTCTGCAGTATCTGTCAGATCAGTAAGTCTGGTCTTTTTGTGTGTGTGTGAGTTAAAATTTTGTTCTATGTTTTCTTCCAGCTCTGTCTGGGACCCTCTATTGTGATCCCTGTCAGACCAGTCTTGGTGGTGGTAGCTGGGCACCATCTAGTTGTGCTGGACTCAGTCTGGTGGAGGCCGTAGTACTTGTGGTCCATTAGTCCTTTAGACTAATCTTTCCCTTGAGTCTTTGGTTTTCTTCATTCTCCTTTGTTCCAGATGGGGGGAGACCAGTGGAGTACCTTAGATGGCCACTCACAAGCTTTTAAGACCCTAGACACTACTCACCAAAGTAGAGTGCAGAACATTTTCTTTATAAATTATGTTACGCCAATTGAGCTAGATGTTCTCCAAGACCATGGTCATCAAATGGAGAAAAGACAGTCTTTTTAACAAATGATGCTGGCAAAACTGGATGTCCATCTGCAAAAAAACGAAACAGGACCCATACCTCACACCATACACAAAAACGAATTCAAAATGGGTCAAAGACCTAAATATAAAACCAAAAACTGCAAAGATCATAGAAGAAAAATATAGGGTTAACTTTAGACGCTCTAATACATGGCATTAACAAGATACAAACCATAACTGGATGGGTTCAGTTAGCAGCCAAACACTTAACCAGTGTGCCACCAGGGCTCTTTTCACACCCACTAGGATGGCCAAAATAAAAAAAGACAATAACAAGTGTTAGCTAGGATGTGGATAAATTGGAGCCCTCACACATTGCAGTGAGAATGTAAAACTGTGCATCACTGTGGGAAACCGTCTAGCAGTTCCTCAAAATGTTAAGTATGGAATTACCATTTGACCCAGCAATTCTACTCCTAGCTATACATCCAAGAAAAATAAAAACACATGTCCATACAAAAACTTGTATACAATATTCATAGCATCATTATTCACGATGGCCAAAGGTGGAAACAACACAAATGCCCATCAACTGATGAGTGGATAAAGACAATGTGGTATATCCATATAATTGTTGTTGTTTTTAATTTCAAATGCCAATTGTTCATTGCTGGTATGTAAGAAGGCAAACAGCAACAATTGACTTTCATATACTGACCTTGTATCTGAGACGTTGCTATACTCACCTATTACTTCCAGGAAAAAAAAATTATTTTTGGATCCCACTTACAATAGCATCAAAAAAAAAGAAAGAAAGATTTAGTTATAAATGTAACAAAATATGTACAGATCTGTAAGTGGAAAACTATAAAACACTGAAGACTATTCCCTGTGGAAGAGAGACTTGGGGGTGGGGAAAGGTGGGAACGCTCCTCCTAGCCCTTCCTAAGAGGAGGAGATGACTAAAACCTTCCATCTCTGGACCAAGTCTCAAGAATATAGGAGAGAAAAGCAACATCGCTCTCAACACGAAGACTGAGGTGAAATTAGGCTGAAGGATTCTGGTGCCATTGGAAAGAAAACAGAGAGATATGGAAGAGAAGTGGCCCTCTGCCAACTCTTTCTGGATGAGCTGAGAACAAAAAGCACAGAAGAGGCACCATCTGGATGGTCAGAGCGGGGCAGGTTATCCAATAAACAAGGGAAACACGGGCTTACTTGTGCTTACTTATTAATCTGTAGTGAACAATTTCACTTTTATTCACCACATCAAAGATTCTGTTTCTAGGTATGGCTGGCATCTGTCTCTCTCCCAGCTTCACAGCACCTTCCTACAGAATCAAAGCCTCTCTTCAAGTTTATAATCCCTGACGGGGGTGAACGATTCAGTAAACAAGGTAAGCACAGGCTTACTTGTCCTCACTTACTCATCTATAGTGAATAATCTCACATGGATTTCACTTTGATGTGATGTGGTGAAACCCATGTGAAACTGTTCACTACAGATTAGTAAATAAGCACAAGTAAGCCCGTGCTTACCTTGCTTATTGGATAATCCACCCCTGGTTGTGAGTGGAGTTGAAACAAGACTGTCAGGAATGTTTTATCTCCCAAGAAAAGCAGTCCCTGATCTAGTTCAGAGCTAGTGATAGGCAGCCCAGGATCTCTTTCAGATTTGTGACTTACAAGCCTCAGCCTTCCTCCCTGTCCCCCTACCTTCACCCACAACCCTTCTGCCCCTCCCCACCCCTGCCCCCTGGGCCTTGGGTTCCTAACTGGGATCAAGATGCTCTTTTCAAGGCCACATGACTTGGAGTCTCCTTCATTTTTAATATCTCTTTAAAAGCATTTTGAAAGCAGGTTCTTCTTACCGCCTAGTATATTTATCTTAACACAATTATTATTACAGTAGTGAGTCCACCTGTAAATTTATAAGTGGCTTAGAAGCTTATTGCCTCAAACTCATACTGAGACGAAATGTGTAGATTTACACAAGAGACAGAGATTTCATGCCTTTGGCAATAGTATGTGTTGTTAAAACTGTAGGTATTGTTAGTTTTTAGAGACCTAAAGATGTGGCTGATCCATAAGACTCAATATCAAGCAAACAACATGTTATTCTGAAGAAGAAAAAAAGCAATGTTGATAAAATGCCCAAATTTAGTTCTTCATAGATATACTTTAGTTCTTCATAGATATACTTGTGTCACATAAGGAAAAATGCCTGAAATTGTTTGCCTTGAAACATTCCCTTTGTCTCATCACTAAAGAAAGTCCATCTCTTAAAAGTATACAGGCTATTTGGAAAGAAAGTATTCAAAAAAAAAAAAAAGTGCCAATTAAATACTTCTTCAAAGTAAGAGACATCAGGAGAAAATATTTTCAATATGTAAAACAGAAAATGGATTATTACAAACTATAAGTCAGTAAGAAAAGAACAAGCAGAACAAAGTAAAACAAATGGGCAAAAATATGAACAGATAATTTAACATAAAAAATGTAAATTAACATTAAACAAATGGAAAAATGCTCAGAGTCACTACCAAATAAAACTTATATTAAAACCATTAGATGCAATTCTTTACCCATCAAAAAATTTAAAATAATAACATATTTTGTGGAGGGTACAAGGTGTACCCTCATACTCTTGGTGGAAATATGGTTGATAGAGCCTTTTGTGGGCAGCAAGAAGGCAATATTTATCAAAATTTATAAAGTACAATACTCTTTAATCAAACAAATCCGTTTTGAAAATATATGCCACAGAAATGCCTCCCACTAGGATGGCTAAGATTTAAAAAAAAATGGAAAATAACAAATGTTGGCAAGGATGTGGGGAAACTGGAATCCATTGCTGGTGGGAAGGCAAAATGGTATAGCCATTGTTAAAATAGTGTGGTAGTCTTCCAAGAAACTAAAAATACAACTATCATATGACCCAGCAATTCCACTCCTAGGTATGTTCCCAAAAGACTTAAAAGCAGAGACTCAAACAGAGACTTGTACATCAATGTTCATTGCAGCACTATTCGCAATAGCCAAAAGGTGGAAATAACTTAAATGCCCATCAACAGATAAATAGATAAACAATGTGTGGTACATACATACAATGGAATACTACTCAGTCAGCAAGAGAAATGAAGTCTTGATACGTGCTACAATATGGAGGGAGGTTGCAGACATTTATGCTGAGTGAAGTCAGTCAGTCACTAAAGGGCAAATATCGGATGCCTTCGCTTATGCAAAAAGTCAAGATAAGGCAAATATAGAGACCAAAGTTTATTAGTCTTTACCAGGGGCAAGAGGGAGGTGGAGAGGAGGCATTATTGCTTATGGAGTACTGAGTTTCAGTTTTCAGTGTTGGAGAAATCACATTGATTAAGGGTAGGGTTGCACAGTCGATTATTGTAAGTGATGTCATACGTTTTACACCTGTAAAGGGCTGAATTGGCAAATGTGTGTGGTAGATATATTTACAAAAACAAAAGAGTAGCTGCTGAGGCTGCTTATGTACTACCAGACACCTCATGGGATTTGGTTCCTTGATTTGGAGGTTTAGGGTCATGATTTTATGGGGCATCCCAGTTAATTGGCCTAAAAATGTGTTTAGTGCTTCTGTTTTACCTCCTAGCTTATTCCGTAGTGCCTGGGGTCTTAAAAGCTTACGAACGGCCACCCAATGCACAACAACTGGTCTCTGTTCGTCTGGAGCAACAGAGGAAGAAGGAGAGTTAGGAATAGGAGGAGGAAATTGCCTCCA